TTCCCCGCTGTAAATAAACTCGTCAAACTAACCTTTAAATCAAACTCGGATCATTACGGTATGCTTTAGTTTATTCAAATAACTAAACCTAAACTAATAACGGATAGAGATAGATTAAACTCAGTACTTGTTCTTGCTACCTACTACCACAAATGATTAGGATAAGGTTTACGGTGTAAACTACTACTACTAACTTAACTTGAACCTTACATCACACTTAACGCTAATGTTTCTACATTATAAATATAAACATTATGCTTATACTTTTTAAATTTTTTGTTTTTGTGTTACTGAATACATGTTTTTTTAAGGCGGTTGTAAAATTAGATTAAATTTTATATTTCACCTAATTAAAATAACCCAGAGTATAAGAAATGTCAACATATGTCAATATGACAACATATCTTGCATAGTTTGGTTTTCTCGGTGTGACATGTGTTTGAACTCGCGCATGTTGTTGTCACACCGTGGAACAACAGCCGACACGTTATCGCCTCGGACTAACCCGAACCCCGGCCACTTATCATGCTAATCCAACGCGCTATCGTTTTAGCCAGCACATTCGGTCAACAAGATACACGTAATGTTATGGTCGGCACGTGTAGTGGAGAGGTGTGTCGGGGTGCTGATGTGTAGTGGAGGCGTGTGTCGGGATGTTGATGTGTAGTGGACGTGTCGGGATGTTGATGTGTAGTGGAGGCGTGTGTTGGGGTACTGATGTGTAGTGGAGGCGTGTGTCGGGATGTTGATGTGTAGTAGAGGCGTGTGTCGGGATGTTGATGTGTAGTAGAGGCGTGTGTCGGGATGTTGATGTGTAGTAGAGGCGTGTGTCGGGATGTTGATGTGTAGTAGAGGCGTGTGTCGGGATGTTGATGTGTAGTAGAGGCGTGTGTCGAGATGTTGATGTGTAGTGGAGGCGTGTGTCAGGAGGCTGATGTGTAGTGGGCGGGATTGGAACGTGCGTTGGTGGGAGGGAGAGGGTTGGAGTAACTCTCGGATACAACAAATTATGCCGTGCTATGCTACTACTATGATCTAAAACCTATTGCAGTTATCTATACATCTAATGCCGTGATCTATACATCTAATGCCGTGATCTATACATCTAATGCCGTGATCTATACATCTAATCCCGTGATCTATGCATTTTGACCGTGATCTATACATCTAATACCGTGATCTATACATCTATGCCGTGATCTATACATTTAATGCCGTGATCTATACATCTAATACCGTGATCTATACATCTAATGCCGTGATCTATACATTTAATGCCGTGATCTATACATCTAATGCCGTGATCTATACATCTAATGCCGTGATCTATACATCTAATGCCGTGATCTATACATCTAATGCCGTGATCTATACATCTAATGCCATGATCTATACATCTAATGCCGTGATCTATACATCTAATGCGTGATCTATACATCTATTGCCGTGATCTATACATCTAATGCCGTGATCTATACATCTAATGCCGTGATCTATTCATCTATTGCCGTGATCTATACATCTATTGCCGTGATCTATACATCTAATGCCGTGATCTATACATCTAATGCCGTGATCTATACATCTATTGCCGTGATCTATACATCTATTGCCGTGATCTATACATCTAATGCCATGATCTATACATCTAATGCCGTGATCTATACATCTAATGCCGTGATCTATACATCTATTGCCGTGATCTATACATCTATTGCCGTGATCTATACATCTAATGCCGTGATCTATACATCTAATGCCGTGATCTATACATCTAATACCGTGATCTATACATCTAATGATATGTTCCATACATCTATAGCTGTGATCTAAATGATGAACTCTATTTATTCATCTATTGGGGTGTTTCATTCACTCCTAACTGTGTTGCATAGATCTATTGTTATGTCCTATCGCATGATGCGTCCATGAAGCCTACGAACGAGCGACGTTTGGACGTTGTTTGCCGCAAGTAGTTACATGTGAAGCCTAACACAAAATACAAAACACAAGACGTTTCGGACAATCTAATAAAAGTATTTTTACCTAAAATAAAAATATTATTCTGGGCCATTAACAAAAATAATGTACTGGCCAGTTTACACACTTCACGAGCTGGCCAAAAGTAAACATAATTATCAGGCCAGTGACAAACATAAAAATCAGACCAAAACTAAATTTGGCCAACAGAAAACCCGTTTTGCTAAAAACCAAAATGTATGAGATTTTAAATTTCGATAATATAATACAGCTTCACGTTAATTCCTTTTCAAAGTCGGCCTATTACCTTCAAAAAGAAAATGTTGGTCATATTTTTCGAAGGGCCAAACTATTATACGACAAACATAGGAATTAACAGAGATAGTATTATTCATCTGCATGGGACATAATAACCACGATGAAAATAATAACATGTACGATCTGTTATGACATTGTTTCATCTTGAAGTTTCACTAAAATATTTTCACATTTTAAATTTGAAAACATAGATCTAGAGCAGTAGGCTATAGTTGTGTCGAAGCTTTCTTGCCCAAGAATTGAAAATACACTGAAGTGTAACGAGTTTAATTAATTACACCACTCTGTAATACATTATAGATAGAACGCGTTCTGTCGTTTTTCAAGGCATATCTTTGCTATTAGTTACAAGAACCATAGAATTAAAATGTAGCAACCGGAATTTTCCGGCGTATTAGACAATCTCCGTCTTCCGAGTAGTCTTAAATACGCCAGAAAATACGGTATTTCTTATACATATATTATTCTTTGTGTACTTTTAGATTGATACACTTCTAACAATCAATGTTAAATCCAGCTATTCCGAATAGGCAAATTTATCAAAGGTCAATATTTATTTTACGTCTACATGTTGAAAAGAGAACGGCTGTGTATACTTTAATTGCACGCCTTACACTGTTTTATATATTAGAGCCCAACATATCATCTTTCCTATAGCTTTTCGACACCAAACTCCAACATTCTAATTAAACAAAAGCGGGTGAAAAAAATATACGAAAAGTCATTTACTGGATAAACAAAACAAAACCCAGAGGGACGGGGAGGAGTGAGGGGGTGGGGGTGGAGATGAGGGGGGTGGGGGTGAGAAAAATAATAGTTTGTTGGTTATTGGAGGCTGTACGTCTGTTTATTGAACGCCTCTACCGTTTCGAGTGTCCCTGCAAATCGATAGCTGACTACCGTACCGATTAATTGATATTCTGAACGCACCCCCAATGAAATACAAAACCGTCCATTATTCCGGATACTAAGCAAAAAGAAAAAGTAGGGGAAAAAAATATAAATGGCTCGATGAGGTAAGACAATAGGGGTACAATCCGCCGCGCCGAATGTTACGTCACAATCGGGAATTACCGTAAAACGCGCAGACGGCGCGCAGATTTGGTGCATTGGAGTAATTCGCCTAATTGAGCTTTGTGAATAGAAACAAAAAGATATGACCATCACATGGAAAATAAGAACTATCGAGGGCGAAAAAAATACACTATTTGCATTTATTAGTCTTAGCGTAATTACTGGTCATTATGAAATCGCTACATCTAAAACAGAATATATACATTTTTATAGATTTACCTGCATATTTTATTATTACGAAAATATATAAGCCGAAGAACAATTTAAAAAATATAATTTTACTGTTGTAAAGTGGAGGCTTAAAATAAAGATGGTAGTCACCATAAGTATTCGTAATTTTAAAATTAATTTAAAAAAAAACCTTCATGTAACTATGATATCTTAAAAGTTACTTATGAAATATTGTTTGTCAATATAAATTTGTGAGGCAATTTGTTTACAATCGTCGGCACATTAATAATGTAGATTCGTGTCTTGTTTATTTTCTTATGACGCTATCGTAATTAGTGTTATAGGTCTAGACAGGATCATTCAGGACTATTGATGCTAGCAGAAAAAAAAAATCAAAACAAACTTCACGAGGTTTCTTCTGCTGTCATAGAATTACTAGTATTTTCTAAATTGAGGCCATTTTTAAATTCGATACTTGTTTACTGGTTCTGCCCCCCCCCCTCCCCCCTTCACCCCAACCCCATATGCCTCAAACAGCTGTATTTAAAATCAACCCTGTAGTCAAGACGTTAACAAGTCTGAACATGGTGTTAAACTTTACCGTTCCGATCGTTAATGTTACTAGTGCGACGACCATTGTATACAACACAGAGGCGTCTCATAGGTTTTATCTGTTTTAAAGGCTAGACATCTAACTTATCCTTATGAAATTAAAATACAGAAAACTCCGCAAATAAATACTACTAACAAATAGTTTCAATATTGTTTTAATGTATCTTCCGACCAAGTATTTCATTCGGAACATCGCATTTTGTCTATATATTTTCCAGTTTGTTTTTCGAAAAACAAAAAAAAAAAAAATAATAAATAAATTAAAAAAATTAACAAAAACAAAACAAGAATATGAAATTGCTGAATTTGTCCGTAAAACAAAACAAAACAACCTTGATGTTCTTAAAAGATTTTGATTAACAAACGAATAATTAAAATTTTGTTTGTGGAATACAACGTTCAGCAGCGATAATTAATCCCGATGAAATGTAGCTATTAAACTCAAATTTAGCACTTTGTAATTTTGTATTGTTTATAAATCTGGGTTTAGCAACGTCAATCACAAGTTTTATGGGCTTTGTACCATTTAAATTTGTACCGATTTGAAATTAAGTCTGTTAGAAGAGGTTAATTAGCTTGACTTCATTATTAATTTTTTAAAAGTCGGATTTTTGTAATTTTTTCATAGATAGAAAACATGTTTAATTTTAGGGGATATTTTTTAATGATTTTTCATTTGGTTGTGTTACTATTTAATTATTTTTTCATTCTTCAGAGTAAAAATCGGCTAAAAGATCTTAATAGATAGCTGTCTTGATAGATTAACATATAGTTTTATGTTTTGATACATTTTTATGATTTTAAGTTTGTTTACATACTATTTAATCATTGTTTTTATTTTTCAGATTAAAAAATCCGCTAAAAGAATCTTGATAAAAGGATCTTGGAAGATCTTAAAAGAGCAGACCTTCACATGAAGGCGAGCCCCAGGTGTCTTGCAGTGAACATCAATTGGAATTACGTCTCACGAGAACTACTCACCGTTCGGGACTGACGGGCGCCCCACCCCACCCTCCCCACCCGCACAGCCTCACCACCGGCCCTGGTGGTACCAGGAGATGTCATTGAGCCCCCGGCCGCCCCATCTTCACCCCCACTCCACCCCGTTCTCCGTCTCCGATATTCTCCACCCGCCGTCCGCTCTGGATCCCGACTTCAAGAAGACAGTCGAGGCCAGCATTCCACCCCTGGGTAACTACCGCTCCCCTCAGCACCAGGCCATGGGGTCCATGGGCATGGGCGGGATGGGCGGCATGGGCGGGATGGGCTCCATGGGCGTGTCCGCCAACTACAACTACGTCCCGCAGTTCTCGCACCACACCTCATCGTTCCCTGGACAATACTGTACCGGAAGTGACCTCTCGGCCTACGCCGACCCCACCGGAAGACACAGCACTGCCGGATGGTACGGACCCAGCGCCGCGGATTCCAGATTTAGCCGTAAGTCTGGCTTTTTTATTCATTTACTTTTCAGGATCTGTCACCCTACCTGTTATTTTACCTGTCATTTCAAATGTCACCTGAACTCACCGTCACGTCTGCTAATTTGTCAAATTCACTTGTCATCTGACCCATCATCCCATATGTCATTTTACTTACCATCTCACCTGTAACCCAACCTGTCCTTCCATATGTCATTTCACATGTCGTCCCCGTGTCACCTACCTATGCCCTTTTCATCATACCTGTAAGAGTGAGTTTCGTTGAGAAAAAAAGCGCACAAAGCTGTCAAAAACCTATACATTTTACTGCAGTGGTTTAACGCAGCATTGTTTTACCCTTAGTTAACCAGTGTTAATTCTCAAACAGATGGCGTTCGTACAGCTCACACATGCACGTTTGTAGTACTCACACGACGGTTGGTTCCACCCTCACACAAAATATTTGTACCTCCCTCACACAACATTTTGTACCTCCCTCACACAAATATGTGTACCACCCTCACACACGACATTATGTACCACCCTCACACACGACATTATGTATCACCCTCACACAAATAATTGTACCACTCTCACAAACGACATTATATACCACCTCATACATCTTATACCACTATCACGCACATTTGTACCACTCTCAAGCAAAGTGTTCACAGTTCAAAAACTCTAATCACAAAAATATAACCTTAAAATAAACCCAAACCGTATCTTAATTTTAAAAAACAACAAAATCCAAACCCATCTCCCCTCCCCTTTATAAAAACAATCCGCAACCCATATCAAAATTATAATGCGTAAGTTTAACAGAACAACAACTGTTTTCTAACTGATATTGACAAAAAAATATCCAGTCCATATTTCTTTCAACACAAGAGAGATAATACCGCGAGGAAGTTTTCCCAGTGGCGAGCTAGTAATCGAAACTAAATTTAAACTTTTAAGATAATCGAAAAAAAAAAAAAAGAAAAAAAAGAAATCCGACATTTTCAGAAAAGACCACTCCACGTTCGCTAAAATTCTATAAATCAGAGTTAATCGCATTTTATCGCATGCTCCCATTGCTTGGTAATCTGTGCATTTAAAGCGTATTGGCTTACGCTAGGTTACTCGACTGATGTACTAATTGCCAGGTAATCGTCAAAATTGATGTTGAACTCGAGGGTGGGATAAGTCGTAGAAGAAGCTTCTGGAAACATATAAGCATACATTAGAACAGTCGTAACACTGACATCAAAAACATTCTGAAGATATTTATAAATGTGATTTGTCGGGATTTTTTCAAAGTGGGCAATCGGTCCAGTCTACCCCACTAGTATTTCTGTAATTTTAATACAATATCAGAGGCGTATCTTTATGTATCTTTACGTTCAAAGTATGTCCCCCACCCCAGAAGCGTAGCGACCCTTCCCGGCGCCCTGGGACAAATTTTCGATTTGCACCCCCCCCTCAAACTTTCGATTTGTTTTTCAAACCCATTTTGGCACCCCCCTAAGGTCGGCTCCCGAGGACATATGTCCCCCCCGCCCCCCCCCCCCCCTCGCTACGCCTCTGCCCCTGCCACATACACCTACGTTCTTTCACTTCTATTCACTGCTCATTAATTTCTGTTCCATACTCGTTATGTAAAATTACATTGGTCGGCCACTTTTTTGTTTGTAATATGTCTTTTTTTTTTGTAGTTTGTAAAACCTGATAGTACCCAAACTTAATTTTAGCTTCAAATATGGGCGCACAAAGCCACCGATAATTTATTAAATGTCTCTTTACTCAAATAACATGTAGGCCTACTTCGATTGTCCCGTTTTGTCGAACGAGCCAATCTCAAGCCTATACGCCTACACTCACACAAACAAGCTCAAACTTCCTTATGATATAGCTCATCACTGAACGGAAACACACACGCATACACACACACGCACACACACACACACATACACACAGAGACACACACCCCTCGTAAACTCACTACGTCGTGAGTGTCTCTTAAACCTTTAACAATTTAAGAAAAAAAAATCATTAAAAAGTAAAAAAAAAAATTTGATGTAATAAATCATCGCTGCCTATATCTCAAGTTTCGATTTATCTCTCCTATTTCCTACGTCACTCCCCTTGCTCTTTTATCCGCGGCGAGCAGGTCATTTGTCGGAGGCGTAGGGTGTCCTACAATTGGTCCAATAGAACTGTTCTATTTCAACCACTGTTTTGTGGGACCTAATGGGACCTAGTTGGACCTAAAGGGATCTGGAGGTACCTTATTAGAATCTTCTGGGACCTTTTAAGACCTCGAATCGAAAGACATGGGGGTGTCTGGTGAATATTTGAAAGACCTTGTACAATTTTGTGTGAACTGCACGGACCTTTTTGTACCTCGTAGGCGACCTTTGAGACCTGGAATGACCTAGTATGGGCCTGGCGGGACCTTGCAAGACCTCGAAAAATCTTGTAAGGCCTGATGAGACTTGTTAGACCAAGTGAGACCTAGCGAGATCCGTTGACTACTATTACGATGGTGATACGTCTTGCATGACAGCTGTTTTGATGCTAATTAAATTGGATGGCGTGGATCGTAAATTTAGCTAAATACCATTTTATAGGTCCTAAAATACCCCCATCTCCTTCCATTGTCGTCCCGTACTATTCATATGTCAATCACTCGTGCATATAGACTGAAACATAAAACTCATTTGCAATATATATGCATATATATATATATATATATATATATATATATATATATATATATATATATATATATATATATATATATATATATATATATATATATATATATATATATATATATATATATATACACAGTCACACACACACACACACACACACACACACACACACACACACACACACACACACACACACACACACACACACTCACACACATACACACACACACACACACACACACACACACACACACACACACATATATATATACATATATATATATATATATATATATATATATATATATATATATATATATATATATATATATATATATATATATATATATATATATATATATATATATATATATATATATATATATATATATATATATATATATATATATATGTGTAGTCAGCCTCACTGATAGCTTAACATGTCTCCATCTGTAAAGGAAAGACAATGCAATGCATCCGTAAAAGTAAAGCCCCTGTCCCCTCGCATCATAATTTATATCGTAGTCTGTTGTCAACTGTCTCACTTTTACAGTTCTATTTCAATGTTTCCCAAATGCGACAAACAATCAACATAATACACTTGTCATTATAACAATCGTCGAAAAAGGGGAGGGGGGGGGAATTCCGGTAAAATGTATTCTAAAGACCCACATCGCGGTGAAATGGTTCAATTTTTGATGGCCGGATACGCCAGGATGATTTTTAGTGACTTGACATCCGTCACACAACGGGTGACGTTGATCAGTCAATTGTCCTGGTTGGGATCCACACGTCATACGCACACAGATGTCCACTGTTCTTTACTTAGTACTTCTAGTACATGGGCCAGGGGTGGTTTTTAATCTACATTTGTATCAAGAGGGTCGGTATAGTACATACCGTATATATATATATATATATATATATATATATATATATATATATATATATATATATATATATATATATATATATATATATATATATATATGTATGTATATATAAATAAATAAATAAATAAATAATTAATAAATAAATAAATAAATAAATAAATAAATAAATAAATAAATAAATAATATATATATATATATATATATATATATATATATATATATATATATATATATATATATATATATATATATATATATATATATATATATAATGTACTGTACTCATCATAAGTAACGGAAAGTAACACTGATGTAACGTAATATGAAATACAAATAAACATATGGGCCCTTCATGTATATCAATATGTACTGTAACGAATATGTATAACGGAACAGCAAATTTACGTAGAATGGAAACGTATGCTAGGTAGTTAGCAACACAATAATATTTATAAATTTAAAAACTCCATTAAATCTAGTACTCTATGAACTCATTAATTGACTCATACATTTTTGTCCTATAAAATAATTAATACAATGTAAAACAAAAAAAATTAAAAACTTAAAAAAAATTAATATTGACTCATGCGTCATTTTGGGCTAATGTTCATGTTACTGTGCTATCCATAAACACCGGGGTCCATCTCTCACAGCACGAGAACCGCTAAACCTGAAGCTAAGACCCTCCTACAGTCTTGCATGTTTTGTCAGCCATTTTATTTTTACTCGCGTCCATCGAGCGGGGATTACCACGTGACAAAGCGCCCTCGATTGGAAAACTAGAAGCAGCAGATGGTCAAGTACGACAACCCCCCACCCCCCCCCCCCGTCCCTTGTGTCCTCCGGGGTTAATGCGTACGTTGCGTGACCCTGACCTTCCTTGAACTTCACATTTCAGAAATGCGCATTGATATTTTGGTTTGTTGTCAATATTCACTTCGAATGATACATTGCCATAGCAAACGTTATAATAAGACCAAGGTTTACTATTACTATTAGATCTATAATCATGATGATAATGATGATGATATTGGTGATGATGGTGATGATAATAATGATGATTATTATTATTTTCGTCATCATTATATTTATAATTGTTATTAGCAGTTGTATTACTAATACTATTACAACAACAACAACTACTACTACTACTTGTACTACTACTACTACTACTACTACTACTACTACTACTACTACTACTACTACTACTACTACCACTAGTACTACTACTACTACTACTACTACTACTACTACTACTACTACTACTACTACTACTACTATTATTATTATTATTATTATTATTATTATTATTATTATTATTATTATTATTACTATGATTATTATATAAAGCACCCCCCTCCCATTCCATGCCCCTATTTTTCTTAATCGTTCACACTCTACACTCACTCACTCAGTCTCTCACT